ACATTTTTTAAAAATAGATTGCAAGCAGAGTAACTGGGAAGTCTTAGTTCCCATAGAAACATAAAATAACGTACCTATAACTACTGCCCGATCAAAATACTCGATCAAAAATATTACGACTTTTTTTTAATTATGTTTTTAGATCTTGATATTCGTTGCGAATAAGCACCAAACTCGAAAGCGTCTGGAAACCCGCGCCACATACACGCTGTAAACGGCCAGATATTTTAACACACTTATACGTCAAAAGATCACTCTATCTAAAAGGAATTTTATCTGAAATTTTGACACACACCCTTAATGTATTTTAGTTAAAAGATCAACAATCAAATTAAAACAATTTTTACCTGAACAAAAATTCTATAAAGAATATTTTAATGCGTCAAAGAAACTGGTCTGCTGGTCTGGTACTGCTTAGTCACCTGTAGATTCCGTTACACTAATTCTTCGTCACAAATGACCGAATTGTATAAGTCAGAGAAGGAAAAGAGGTGTCTAGGAGAAACCAGTAAATAGTTATGCAAAGGAAATCCAAAGACGCATCCACCATTTTGTTTTTGAGGAGATGTCACGACACCTACAGACCCATCACGTTGGAACTATAAAGATGAGGCTAAAGCGTGTTACTCACTCTGAATACAAACTAGGAAAACATACCACAGAGAAAGACTTTTTTGTAAAAAAAAACAAACGGTTTTGAAAAAACCGGATTCCTAACTCTTTGTTTAACCTTCAAACAATTTGTCAGTATATTGGTGATGCAGATTTTTTGTGTAATTATAATTTATTAATAAATCAACAATACTCTACATATAAAAGATGCATTAGTAAGCAAGGTACAGGCAGACAGGACCGAATAGTACAGAAGTCTGATTAAATGTAAACTTTTTGCTAATTATTTTGTTCTTTTTTGCCATATTTTTTATTGGGTCTACTACTAATCAAAAGGTGTTATTTTTTATTTTATCTGTGATTATTAAATGATATTGTATTTTGACTTATGGTCAAATAAATACATAAGTAAACGTTAGTAAGATTAGAAGTTTCTCCTAGTATTATCTCTTTAATTGCTTAGAACATTTTGATTCATTCAGCGCATTACGATCAACTTGGAAACTTTGAACATTTGTATGTATAAGTGCTCATCCTGAAACCCCTATTATTCAAAACTTTATAAAATTTTACGTCTTCAGATTTTAAATGGGATCGATAAAAAATAATGTTTGGATTTGTACAAATAGTTTCAAAACCTAATATACTAACACAGTCTAGCATACAAAACACTTACACCATTGCATTAAAATTATTTCAATTATGCTTCCACGCATAAAGGTAAGGATGAGGTCTGAAAACGTAATTAAGTGGTTTTTCGAAATATTCTTTAAACGAACAGTTTTATTTGATTTTAATTGTCAATAGAAACCTGACATTATCAATCTCCGTCTCTCTATACTCTTTCGAAAATGTACTGAATTAAGTTTCTCGACCTTAATATTGATCTAGCATATGAGCAACAAGTTTCATTAAAATCGGTTTAGTTATTTCCTTGATTTTGGACTTTATATACTACTCAAACGCCTTCGTATAACAAATAGTAAAAATATATATGTCTAAAATGACTGTCAATGCTAAAACATTCTACTAATATAATAAATGTGAAAGTTTGCGAGAATGTTTGAAGGTATGGTTGTTTTTCTTTCACTCTAAAATAGATGGACCTTACCTTGGGTTACAACACAGGGATTTTTTATGTAAAACGCGAGAGAATCCGCGAGCGGAAGCTAGTAAAACATGAATTAAAGCAACACTAGAATATACCCAGTACGTATAAACCAAACGAGTCATTTTACATACAATCGGTAAATATGATTGTTATAGAAGTTATCAAGCCAAATTGATTTTCCAGCATTATATACCTTTATATAGTTGAAAATGGAAAAACCACAATTTGCATTGTTGCCGCTTGAATTATGATAAAAGATTTTAATGACCGAGTAACTCGTGAATTACAAGTTAAAGCTAACCAAGGTTTATTTGTGGCTGGGTGATATATGTACTTGATATCCTTAGATTCTTTCTGATTTTTCACGTGGAAGATCCACGCTTCGCCACGAATGCACCAGTTCGACCGGCGTGAAACTACGATCGCGTTGTGTTTCGTCGTGTAATTAAGGATCAACTCTCCAAATTCCCAATACCTTGAAGGTCAAACATAATTGTTACTTCTTTAGCATGTTCCTTTTGCTCGTTTGCTGATGTTCAAAGAAAATAGGTATCTAAAAAGTTTTGTGCTGAAAACCAGGTCGCGAGGAGTCAGAAGTATTCAAAGAAAAAAACCCTTAACTTCAACAATTCATAAAAAATCAGAAAATAAACAATGTAAAATACAATCAGCTACATTCCCCCATTCCAAAATGCTTACTACTGACATAAATAAAAAAAACGATTTATACACCAAATAATTTTACGACTTACGTTACAATAATTATGGTGTAGTTTACTTTGCATACCGTATTAAATTTATGAATGGCAATGGCACTTTGCAAAAAAGTTATCTAGCAGTATCTCCATCTAGCAAAACTTTGCTATTAAATTTTTATTGACCTCAGCTCAAGATACGATTGTTAAATAATTTATGCAGTTTCATTATATCACAGTGCTTAGAATCAAATGTTTTTGGTACAGTTAGTATCAGATCGTCTGTCTATCACACCACACCATGACACACACTACAACGCATATACATTTACACAGAGTACAATTTATAACAAATATATACATTGACGCACGTGCTAAGTCAATTCCCTTGAATGTAATCAAACTATTGAAGATGGATTAAAGGAAATTTTACTAAAGTGCATGAGGTACTGCGGAAGGAACTTATGAAAGTTGTTAATTTTCCTTGTTTATTTTTTGTATTTGTTTGTATAATTGGATCAATTCAGCATTACAATAACATAAATATGTAAATAAATATCAAGTAAAATAAAACCTTTCAAAAAGTACTTATAGCAGTTGACAAAAAAATCAAAACGCTACTCGTGCAAAATTAAACGAATTATATTTCATTGACAGTTTTGAATACAATAGGTGTTTATGCTAATCCTTTTATTATTGAATGTGCTATATCTGGTCATTCAACTTACCAAAATAGATGCGAACTCATGAACTGTCTTTGTACCTGATTTAAATACTTAATCCTTCTACAAGTCCACGGTGATGATGACGTGACAATGATGTACCGAGGCCCAACAAGGAGCAAGAGAAGGAATAGAGAGGTTTTGAATTCTCTTTTGACACTCTTGACACTTACCATGAATTTTCCCCCCATCAATAAAGCCGCATGTTAGAAAATGCCTATGCTTCTTCTTCGTCTAGATACTGTCAAATAAACTTTTTTGAACAAACCAAAAATAAACAATATTACGTTTTCTTAAAATTGGTATTTCATTGATATGGAAATTGTTAAGAATATCCTAAATGCAGCAGTTAAAGTATTGCGGCTCGTATACGAAGATATGGTGGGGCACAATGCCCCACCATATTATTTATCACTCGTTCAATTTTTTTTCTCAATGTAATCAGTAATCAAAACTCTTTAAGGAAATAGGCAAATTTTATTCTAATTATACACGTACGTGAAACCATACAAAAAGTATGTAATTTTTACATATGTATACTGTGCCATAAATCATAATAATTTTACTGCACATCACTTATTGTGCACAACAATATGCATTACCTACAAATCAAAGTAGCACGCATTGCCAATAACATAAATAAATAATTTAAGGAAAAGGCCTTACCTAGATTTATTTACGTCTTTTCATGAACTAATTTGATTCCAACATTTATTGATTGATTTATATATTTGTTTAATCTTTATGCAGCATACTGTTACATTTACACCAGACAATCTGATTTTTTTTTTGTGATAGTTCGGCAAACTCAAAAACCTCCAACACCAAAGGAGTTACGAGTGTGTTGCCGGCCTTTTTGAGATGATCCCAATCTGGTAAGGATTGAGCCTCCGTTTATGGCCTATTTGCAATAATAAATTTATTATTTCATCGAAGAAGAAGATAATAAGAAGCGCGAAGATTTTTGGAGTAGGCGGAACAAAGGCATTCAAACAAGTTAGTTAAGAAGAGACAAAAGAGTTGTCAAAACACAGCAATCATCCAACAGAAGTGTAGTATGTGAGAGCTTATTAAGCAAATTTGAGCCGAGATCATAATAACACACGTCACTATAATCGATGATAAGGAAGATTAAGGACTGCTGCATTTTACGGAAATATATAATAACTGATATGCCAAACTGGAACAAGGACTAATGGCTATAAGACTATTATTTGTTTATTAATAGCTTCAGGCAGATCCCGGCTGAGTCTGATTGTGAACCTGCAGGATATCGGCAAACGGGTGATATATGTATACACTGAAGATTATTCCTATTGTGATTGTTCCAAGTATCTTCCAAATGAGCGCTAGATGCAATGTTACCAAGAAATTTTGGTATTTGGCATTAATCTGGGTATACAGATTTCTGGCTAACTTAAAGAGAATCCAAATCTCATCTGACCTATCACGTTTGTACTTCCAAAAGACGCGATTCCTCTGCTTCCTCGCCATAGGAACCCCTCTTGACAGCCACGAAGCCGGCGGACGTTTAACTTTTATAGTGTTGATTGGCGCTGGTTGGAGAGATTTTTGATCAGGGTATTTAGAACCTTATCATTATCATCAATAGAAGAAGTATTGGATATTTCTGATTCTAACCTATATTTCCATAAAAAGAATAAAAAAAACCAATTTCCCCGTTTCCTCGTAATATTCTTACGGGCAGTAGATACTACATATTTCGTAACCAATAACTAGAAAATATTAAATACGTACGTACAATTAATGTAAAAAACGAAATAATAAATTTCTTTGAACTGTTTACGTTTTTTCGTAAATACCCGAATATGAATTGTTTATCTTGCAAGTTGGTGTTAGCGATCACGTAGCGCGTCACTCAACAAATTATATGATTTAAAAAGAGAATCGCGGCCTTAACCGGTTAGTGTTGTGCCAACGTTCAACTCGCACGCCGTAGCCATGAAGCTCTTTATATGCGGTGAGTTTTTAATTATATTTTATATAAATAAACTTACAACAAAATAGTTCACACACATTTTAAACCTTAAATGAAGTGATAATATCGCTGGTATCTCTAAAAAGAAGGTTTTATAACTTTGTTATTTATGTCTTAGCTAACAGGTATTCTATTAATAAATCCTTTTTGTTGATCCTTTTTATTACTTCATTACAGTTGCAATAATATAACCTTAAAATTTTTAAACGTGAATAATTATTTTTCAACTATTTTGTTGTGCTGTGCTAAATTTAAAAGAAATGAAGGACGTCAAAAGTTTAAATCTAATTAAAATTAATGTAGTGACATCATTGTTATATAGCTTAAGATTATAACAGCTTATTACCTTACATAATGATATTCTCAATATATATTATTTTTATAACAAAATTATTAATATTTATGAGTTATAAATGTTAGAAATTACATTTAATTATTCTTTATTTCTTAATTTACTTTTACATTAAAATCTGTACAGTGTGGAAATACCGCCATGGCTGCATTAATGCGTCATCACATTAGTAAAAATTAAAAAATATATACATTTAACGTGCGTTGTGACGTAAAATAATTTGATTTTTATCGGAAAACCTGATTGCTTTGTTAAGGTTGAATGGGATTCCCTGGCATAACATTCCTTGCCGGTTTTCCTTATGCGTATCCATAACTGTTATAAACATTTAATATGTATCACTTATGAATACTCTCAATATTCTGTACAATATAAATTTTACTTTATACCTATCAAATGTATCAACAAAATATCGTATACCCAAGTAGTACCAGGTAGGTCATTATACTCTAATACGCATTGAAACAATGAGATGACCATGATTACCACCGAGTACTGTATATCGCATAAGTTCATAAAAAAAAACATCTATTGTGTTCGTGTGTATACAAAAACTATTCACCTTAGTTTCAAAACTAGTTCTAGTAGGAAAAAACTTGTATTATTCATATCCATAGGAACTTTAGAAGACATGCTTTGAAACAAGCAGGTTTATTTTATTGTGAGAGAAGCATGACTAGGAAAGGTCATGAACCCACATCTGCAATGCTTTAAGAATAAATGATTGATGATCTAGCAGATCCAGAACAAAAAAGTACTCTTGCATTATTTTTTTATTTATTTATTATGCTTCTTTGTACCCATTTCGCAGTCTTTGCCTAGGTTGTATATACATATTACGCGTAAAGCAGGCGGTCATACCACAGAATGATTCTTCCAGACAACTTTCTTGTGGCATTATTATGAAGTACCAAGCTACAATAAAAATATATACCCACACGTGAAAATCTAAATATGAATAAAAATTTACGGCTTGAAGTTGAGAATGCGGACGGAAATACAAACGACTCTAGAAATAAAAACCTGGTGCTCTCATTATCCTCTCCGAATTATAGATAATTAAGAACATATAGGTATACATATGTACATTTAATTGAAACGACGGGTTAACTTTGGTAATTCGAGACACAATAAAATAACAAAAGGCGCGTGAATGCCGGCTTTCGCTCGGGGTTTGATTAATTAAGTTTGAATTTATTGTCTTTTAATAACACATTTATTTTTATGTTTCAGTATTGGCCCTCGCGGCAACAGCAATGTCAGACTCAAACCTAGATATTTTAAAAGCTGGCAACGACCAGTTCACAGCAAAAATGTTCCAAGTAAGTAATCAATCACACAACTACTTAAAGATAAACAACATTATGCAATAATACGTTATCACAGTACTTGGTAAAAATGTTAAATTAGCCGTATCGGTCAAACATATGATAACGTGAAGCTTCTTCGAGATAAGAAATGACCTAAAAGTAATTATGAATCCTTTTGATAACAATTTCTTATATTTTGTTGTGGTATTACACACGTGACTGTTCAAAAACACTAAGCACAATTTGAATTCACTTTATTAAATAAAAAAACAAAATATAAGAAATAGTTATCAAAAGTATTAATAATGACTTTTAGGTAATTTTATTTATAAATCTATCATTACAGGATTACTTATCTTAATATTATATTTTCAATTTCTTTTAGTTATAGTTTTTAAATAGTTTTAAACTAAACAACGTACTGAAATATCCGATAAAACGGGGTGAATGGATACATAAAAGGGGTAACAATATATTGGCAAATTTTCCTAGTATATATTCACCCCTCTTCTGTGTCTATTCATCCCGTTTTACTTATGTAAATGGTTTGCAAACCATAAAGAGTTTTCATATAAGTCTTGGGACCTACAACTGTGTATGTTTAAATATTGACTAGAACTGTACTAAGCCTAGATTGACATAACCTGGAAAACATCTAATAATTACCCCCTTAATTGACTAGTACAATTGGGCACATGTGTCACATAACCTATGTCTACCCACTATTGATGTTTCTGTCATCGATACATAACAAAACAATGTTTGTTTTTTTAATCTTTAATTTGATTGGTCGACGATATCATTTGCAATTATCATAGATTTTAAACGAACGGGAAATAAAACAAGTAGTCTCGTTTAAAAAAAATACATTATTATAAAAACTTGTTTTATTTAGATTTTTACAACATTCCATACAATGATTGCTAAATTATTAGGTTCGATTGAATGTAAATATATGTAGTTAAATTGTTTTTTCTTATATAACGGAGGTGTACAGTATTTAGCCCTCACTATCCGCATGACAAAAACATTTCACTTGAAAATTATTACCTTAGAGGTATTAGAACTTGACTGTAATTAAACTGATAATTATTATATGACTGAGTCACCATCCAAAAGAAACGAGACATACTAAATTAAAAGCATATAAGAAAAACGGAAGTTTCCAATGAAACAAACGCGATAGTCAATCATATTATCACGATTGTAAAATAGTCCTTGAACGTGGTCAGAAACAAAGAAGTGACGCAATCAGCCGAACAGGCAATACCTACAGATTTATGTTTTCCTTTATTGAATAATTTTATACATAGCTGTTGTTGGAAACTGATTATACTGTGTAATACTTATATGGCATTTCAAATGCAATTTTACATATGGATTTTCCCATGCGATATGCAGAACGTGGACACCAGCTAGGTAAATATCGATGTGAAATATTTGTTAACATCACTCGAGCACGGCTAATCTATGTCCCTTTAGAGTTAAAACTGGTCGGCATCAATATTGACAAGACTTAGTTGTTCTATGAGGATGGTTTGTTACAAACATGCCTTATCGGTGTTGGAAATCCTGGAATCATAATTAAAACTTGCAGAGCAAAATATTTGTAAACTTTACTCCAATCAAGCAACAAAAATACTATGTAATAATTAATCTATACTAATGTAACAAAGAGGTAAAATTTGTATGTAAAGGGTAATCTTTAGAACCGCTGCCTGGTCGGATTTCCAAAACTCTTTCCCTGATATTCCTATTACTATAAATTTTATTTGCGATTAGACATAATTTGCGAATTTTGCGTTTGAAGCCGCGGGCAGGAGACAGTGTGTTAATAAATTTTTTTTCTCTCTTATTTCAGGAAGTTGTCAAGGTAAAACCAAATGAAAATATTGTTATGTCAGCGTTATCTGTGCTATCACCCTTAGCACAGCTAGCATTGGCTTCAGAGGGGGAATCTCATGATGAGATCCTCAGAGCCATTGGCTTGCCTAATGACAACGTGGTATGTATAACTTTTACATAATTGAACATTATTTTTTGTCGTAACTCGTTACAAAACCTTAGTACACTAAAGTACTCATTAACTTTGTAAGCAAATATAAAACCTTTTCTTTCTTTTAATTCAGATATAAGTTTTTATTATTAAGTCTGGACAAATATTACACACCTACATTCGAATCACGTTCGAGATTGAAACAAATAACAAAAATAATATTATCAAGAAATTCTTATTTACAGACAAAAGCAGTATTCACAGATGCGAACAAACAGCTGCGATCGGTTAAAGGTGTAGAACTAAGCCTCGCAAGCAGAATATACGTGCGACAGGGAGACGAGCTGAACCCTCAGTTCGCAGCTATCTCCAGAGACGTCTTCAACTCGGACGCCAAGAACATTGACTTCTCAAAGAACGTGGAAGCAGCAAAAGAAATTAACACTTGGGTAAAAATCATAGTATATTATAACAATATTTGTAGCGTAGAGACACAGGCCTCAGTAGAAAAACACTAAAATCTATAATAATAATAACTCTTTAATAACTAGTCAAAACCAGTGCAGATTTTTTATGTAATAAGGTGCCAAAGAGTACTCTGCATTGCCAGCCTGGGAGTTCAAGGATTGGGGATGGGCACGACATATCAAAAATGCAAGAGTTACTTCACGCCGGATTTCTGTAATACCACGCCGGAGCCGGTCCATTCATGTCGAATGATAGCTCTCTTACACTAAATTAATATTTTAAAAAATACAAATAAAAATCGTGGTAAATTGTTCAGGGAAGACTACAAACTTTTTTATAAATAAAATTATTTACTTTCAGGTTGAGGATCAGACAAACCACCGCATCAAAGATTTAGTATCAGCAGACTCATTAGATGGAAATAGTGCTGCCGTTCTCGTAAACGCCATGTACTTCAAGGTACTTTATTATTACACACAAAATTAATCTATGTACAAATTTTATGATGCCTGTTCAAAATGGGTGCGGCATCCTTTACGTCATGTTTTAGTTAAGCCTGTAATAAGTTCATGCATATCTTGCACCATACACTACAATTTATCACCATCGTCATCATTCGATTTCCGTCCAATACTGGACATAGTGCAATGTTCAGCTCTTCTCATCCAACCACTGACTGCACGGCGTGGTGGAACAACTCTTTGTATGTAAGTGAAATTGTATGTTTGTAAACGCACCCATGACACAGGAGAAAATCAAAGTGTGGGGCAACGTTCGTTTTAAAAAAAAACCACTGCCAGTCATCTTATGGTTAACGTCACTCCACCTAACTCCCTACATTATCTTCGCTAAGATGTGGTTTCCACCCCTGAACACATCTACCCAAAAGATCAAGGGTTCTTCGACAAACGTGTCCTGCGTTGCACCACTTACACTGCTTCTGCAATTCGAAGATGAGATGTTATTATAATTTTCTTGCTCGAATAATTTCTTATATAGAACACTTGACTAGTATATACTGGAAAAGTCTCAATAATTATTTTAAATATTTTAGGGTAAGTGGAAGAAACCTTTCAGTCCCGAACAGACAGTTGACCGTGACTTCTATGTTAGCAAAGACAAAACCGTCCAAAAACCAACAATGCACATTGTTGCTGACTTCAAATATGGCGAAAGTGCCGAACTTGATGCTAAGGTAAATCAATTTACATATAACTACTTAAATACGAAGATTCACTAAATAATAGATCACTACTATCAGATAAACATTTCTTTATAAACTTTGGATAACTGTTTGTAATGTGTGCTTCTAGCTTATAGAGATGCCATATGCCGGAGATGAGTCATCGCTTCTAATTGTACTACCAAATGAAGTCGACGGTCTCAACAACTTAGTCAAGAAACTGGAGAACCCAGAAGTTTTACCAAAAGCCATGGAGAAAATGTACACTAACGAAGTGGTTCTTGATCTGCCCAAATTCAAAATTGAAACTACAACTGACTTAGCAGATGTTCTTTACAAAGTAAGTCATTCAATGAAATTATTACTAATTCAGAATATTGAAGAGAAATTTGTATAATTAGTAAATTCAACAGAAATGCGTTAAAGTAGGTATTTCGTTGTTTTATATAATCAATCTATATTATTTTCTATTTATAGATGAACATTAAAAAATTGTTCACGCGTGGTGAAGCTAGGTTGAACCATTTGATCAAAGATGCGAAAGACTTGTATGTAAGTAATGCTCTTCAGAAAGCATTCATTGACGTAAATGAAGAAGGTGCTGAAGCCGCCGTAGCTAACCGTGAGTACAGCCCTACGGTTGATATCAAACCTCCTTTCTCTTACATAAACAGATAATAAAATATTATCAACTTTTTTTTACATTTTACGTCGTTTGATACCTTGTAAGATTGTCCTCATTGACATATTTGTATTGAAATAGAATTTGTTGATGTAAAAAAATAATTATATAAATGCAAAATAAAGAAGTAAAGAAACGCCTTCACGCCTTGTATGCCTCGTCACCAAACGAAACATCTTATAAAGTTTCTGGTAACATTTAAATTCGGTCCAGAACATTAGAGGGCTCATTGAAAATTGACTCGGCTATCTACTTTAAAACCAACTTTCCCACATAACTGAAACTTTGATTTTGACTAATAAAGAACACACACAAAAAACATAAACCTTTGAACACATTTTCTAGGAATAATTTTCCTTAAGAATAAGTATGTGCCCAAGTGAAAATTCTAGGAAATTATAAAATATATAAGTTTTTATGCTAACGATTATTATTTTAATATAAAATCAATTTCAGAACACTTCCTCATCTTTAAAAGTCTTGGTTTCCGAGAGAACTTACTCGTTAATCATCCATTTTATTTTGTACTGAAAATCAACAACAAGATATTCTTTTCGGGAATTGTTGTTAAATAGGTATTCACTTGTTTTTTTTTTTATTTAATCTTTATTTTTAACTAACAACTATTATGAACAATTTGTGTTTTGTTAAAGGGAAAAAGTAGAATGTATTTTTTAACTAATATCAAAATATAAAGACTGTAGGTACCTATATGTAACAAAGATATGACCAAAAAGAGCAATACGCTCTTTAAAGGATTTTTTCTTACGATTTGCAAGACATCTACTAACCTAATCGTATACCGATTCATTTCACATACATAAATTACTTTACAATAATTATATAATTTATACAGTTCAAAGTTTTATGATTTTTGTTATACTTGCGTACATTATAAATTATCAATTTGCTGGTTGGTTTATTAAATTCCTACATTGCATGACGGTTTACGTTACGTACTTATTAGATAGACCTTTTATTGAAAATATTAAAAAATAATTTATAATAGATAATATTTTATTATCTGTACCTATTGCCACAATCAAATTTGTTCGCTCCTCATATTTATGTACTTAAATATTTATTTACTTATAATATTATGTCAACGTGTTTGCTTTGATTCACGAAAAACTTACAAGTTGTATTCTTTTTTTAAATACTGTTAGACATTTTTGTTTTCCTCATAATAATGCCAACACAAGAAATATATTGATAATATGAATAACAATGTGTCACTGAATGAAAGCTAAAGTTTTTATGAAAAAGGAAACATATTTCTTTGCAATAAAATTTCAAATCAAGCATATTGCAATAGTATGTAGATTGAAGCAAACACGTTTAAAACACAGAAATGTATGTATGAAATGTAAACATTGGACTTATACTAAGCATCATTTCCGGCGTTGTCCTTACAGAATTCGGTATTGCGTATTTGAGCGCTTTTATACCGGTTAGGAGTGTATTCAAGGCGGACCATCCGTTCGTGTTCTTCTTAATGGAGGAGAATAACGTTCTGTTTAATGGAGTCTTCCAAGTTTAGGTACTTACGCGTATTTTGGTGCATTAGTTTGCACCTAACGCATGATCATTTCTAACATTATTGCATCACGCCTATTGCTCCTCGATTTAATAAGTAATTCAATGTTACACCTAGTCATGTTATTCGTCCTTCGGAACTGAAAGCGAGCCTTTTGCTATCAGACGATTACTGGGAATTTAAAAAAAGCAATATTTGAATATCGAATCTCTATAGTCGCGCTTGTGCCCACTTGAAACGAAACAGCCATTTCAATCAATAAATTGCAACAGCTTCTCATCTGCTCTGCTTTTCTGTTTCTTATATTTATGTAGTACGGATTATTTTACGCTGTTACAATAATAAAAACTATTTCTTTATTACTTTTATACACTTTGGTTATGTGGCTCTTTTATTCTTTTCTAAAACGCTAAAATGCAAGTGCATGTAATGTCTTCTCTTGCAATGATTTAACACTGATTTTAATTAGTAAAACTCATGACCAGCTTTGGCAATACTGCCTTCAGCCTATGTAGGACGCATGTATATTTCTGTTAAACACTATTAACAATACGTTAACTATACGAAGTATTTAGACAGTATCTACAAATTCTTCTGACACTCCTTTTTTCGTAAAACGTGGATTACTCAATACATTTATTCGTCAAACAATACAATTATAATATATATAATTTGATTGATTATATAAGTTAATTATATATAACATAAATACATAATACATTCACAAATTAATTTTAGCGACTATTTCAGATTTTAGCCTTGACGTAAGGGCCGCATTTAGATCCACCTATGACTTTCTGGCAGACCATCCGTTTGTTTTTGCGATACTGTGTAACAGTAATGAATTAAACAGAAATATAATTACATTCACTGGAGTATTAGTGAAATAATCCATTACACTAACATAGTATGTATTGTCTAGTAACGTTTACAAGCATGAGTTTATTTATCCCAAAAAGTACATATATAACACTGCTGCTCCGCTACTAATTCTTAAACTTTCAAATTTAATATGACATTCTTAAAAAAAATTAAGGGTATAGTTATTCAATTGTATTTTCAATAGTGAAATTCTAGCATTGTAATTTTGATTCATATTATTTACCAAAACTTATGCAGGGATCATTCAATAAACTTCAACCTGGTAAAGGTCTCATCTGCATACATAGTACATATATAGTACTCTTACGTAACTAACATTGCATGAAGTATATTAAGCTTTTGCATCCTTAAAATGCACGGAAACAAGCCTAGATTTGCATTTTTTCCAATAACTTGCTTTGCTTTTAATTTCATTCATAAGATTTCTAAATATCATTTCCCAAAGTACATTTAATTCACGATGTATAATACTTTTGTTTTACATTTCAGGTGTATTATTAGTATTTGACAAAAGATCGACTGGATCAATCAAGGAAACTATTATAATATTTGAAATCAATAAATTATTTTTAATTAATACGTTGTTTTGATTTTCTTGTCCTTTACATCTAGAAATAATCTTAAAAGTAATATTCTTAAAATTTCTTTTAGACTACGTTTAGCTTCGCCAAGTACGATTTGCATTGTAGCTTGGCAACAGGCAACATATCGTGGGTTCGATTCCCGCACGGATCAAGTCTATGAGTTGCCATAAGTTGTCATTTCGGATCTGGGTGTCATGTGTCATGTATATTTGAAATTGTAGTTTGTAAACGCTTCTACTACACAGGAGAAAATCCTAATGTGGGGAAATGTTTTTTAATAGAAAGAGAAAGGGTGTTTTTATGAGGCTATTCGCCATCTATTAAGGATGCAAAGTTCTTTGTTTTCACTTAAAGTTTAAATGTTCCTAGGATAGCAAACATCAGAAACTTAAAACAAATATTTTGATCTCATGAAGCAACTTATTTGCTAACAAGGGGAAGAGGAACCACCCATTAGATTGTTAGCAGGCGAAAGTGAGCTGACCTGGCCCGTGACTGGTGAGACGAGTAAATAGTGGCGGCGCGCGGCGGCAGTTCCGTTGAGGAGGACTTCCATTGTCCAGGAACCTCGCACATTACTCCGGCAATTTGTTAAGAAGGAACACGACCGTCGCGGAAACTACCTGATAGACAACGCTTTTGTGCCTTAATGAATACTGTCAGACGAACAAACGTTACACCACGGGAAGACTAATGTGGGCCACCTTCCACCCTTGTTATCTTTATGGCCGTACCTATTGTTTATATTGAGCGATGTCATGATTTACCGCTCGCCCCTTTCATCCAACTGACTAATAAATATTTAAATTAAGCCACTCTGCTTCAGTCCAGTGCACCAGAATGCGTAAATGTACCTTGAAGCCAAGCACAGTTCGTCTTCCGAGCGTTAATTGCATTGCAAATAATTTGTTAATTAAATCACGTGTAACGAAAATACATTTAAAATTCAGAGTATTCATTCCATGAGAGGATCTTTTGTTATGGATACGGAGGTCCGCACACAATGAAAAATAAGGAAAGAAATTTTGAAGGCAGTTCCGTCCTGTGTATTAATAAGTTACTGCTAGTATTAATTTGCTTAAAGATAAGTACCTAATGAGACATTTTTAATAAATCTTAGAGTCCTGTACTTCGAGTCCTTGTTCAGAGAGTAGTTCAATGATGGGTAACCAGTATCGTTTAGTTTTAACGAGCGGTTATCGTGTGCGGTTTGTCGTGTATGTAGAGGTTTATTTGTTTCCGCCTGTGGACCGCTGCGGGAAGCCGCATAGTTTAGCTTGCTACGTGGAACTTTCATTCAATTGTGTAGAACTAGCAATGTAGAATTACTCAGCGTTATATTGGGGAAGTTCAAGTTACCCAGCACATAACTGACAGTATTCTCCGAATACTATGTATATAAAGTATTGGGATGTTCGAGTAAAGTATATTGTTGTGAAAACCATGTATGCCAATAGCCTAAGTGCTTCGGCACGAATGGGTCGGCTCCACCGGAGTTATACCACGGATTCACAGAAAACTGGGGTGTAACAACAACACCGTTGTATTCCGCTATATGAATGAGGTTTCTGGAAGTCCAGTGCTTCCCCTCCCCTAATCTCTCCCCAACACCAAAATCTCCAAATCCCATAACCCCAAAAGTCGGCAACGGACTCGTAGCTCCTCTGTTATTGCGGGTGTCCATGGGCGGTGCTGATTGACACCATCAAGTAATCCATCAGCTCGTTTGCCAACCTATCACATAAGAAAGGTAATAATAAAAAATTAGATGTGTAATGAATAAAAGGAATCGATGCATTGCAATTTAAGCACTGAGCAAACCGCGGCGGTGCACGACATTGCACTGGAACAAGTTCAATTAACGAACAAAGCACAGAAATCTTAACAGCGTTTTCTTGTTCGGCGCTGCATGAAAGAGAACCAATTAGCCCGTAAAGTGAGTGCCAAAGAGACAATAGTGAGTGTTGGGTTCCGCGCACCTTCCCTCACGGAGCTCCTACGTCGAGCTAACGTTTCGCTGAGGACTGACAAACATTCAGACTGTCTGTTTCAACTTTTTTAGTCAATGTATGAATATAGTTTAAGTGTTTCAGCTGTGTCTTGAGGTATTTTTTTATTTATGCATTGTTTGGTCGAAATCACAATGTGTATAAACGATTATATGTAAAAAAAATTTAGTGTAGCACGAACTCTTTATGATGTGTAACAATAATATTATATTTATTTATTTAAGACTAAGACTTTTATTCAAATGATAAAAACGATATTTTCCTATGAACTTGCATAAAACCGCAACATACATATAACGTCAATATGTTAACAACAACGTCATAATGTTTCTTATTCAAACAACATTTTATTTTGTAAATATCAACTAGAAAACGTCTAAAATCCTGGAAATTAGAGAAACAATAGAATAACAATAGGTTTGCGAAAACCAGCTTGGCTTAGGATTTGATGAAAGTATGGTTTAAAAATGTTTATATAATTGTACTGAAAAGTCACATATTTTTTACCTAATATACTACCCCAGCAAATATCTTCCTACCTATCTATTGCAAACCGTACGTAACGTTTTCATAGTTAGACAATCGCAGTGAATGAATGAGTATGACGCCAGGTCTCGTATACTCTACGAAAAAGAAAACAAAAAGAGGTTTGAAACATCGATGAGGTCTGCTTCAGCGAACGGATGGCGAAAATAGGATTTTCCGTAGGTATGCCCTTCATTCTCCTATTTGCAAAATGTCCGTTCCAAAGTTTTCGTTCGTTTTCGATGCTATCATTCCTTGGTATAGGTAAGCAAAGCTTTAACAAATACATATACATATGTACACATGCTACATTGCAAACCATATATGCTGACGTGCTTTTAATTTCAAAATCTCCGTATTCAAACTTCAGGTGTATAAAGTTATATATTGTCATCAATAATCAAATTACGATTGGTAATGTATAACAATTAATCAATTAAGTCTGGGACAGCCCTGCTTCGGCACGAATGGTCGACTCGACCGGAATGATACCACGGCCTCACAGAAGACCGGCGTGAAATAACCACAGCATTGTGTTTCACCGTATGAGTGAGGTTACCGGCCTAATCCTTACTCTCCCTCGTTCCCTCCCTAATCCCTAAATCTCCTAAACCCTAATCCCTAAAAGGTCGGCAACGCACTCGTAACTCCTCCGTTGCGGGTGTCCATGGGCAGCGCTGATTGCTTACCATCAGGCAATCTGTCAGAAAAAACAAGGTCCAAAAAACTAAAAGATTTCTGTTCACTCAACGGGATAAAAGAAAAAAGTACATTCAACTCTAATATTAAATGTTTTATCTAATTATTGTATTTTAGAGACAAGAAATATAAAACATTATACTGTTTAATTACTAGGTAGGTATCCAAAGTTCTTAAGAAAAAGCGAAACAAAAGCCTGCCACTACCATACGCAGTAATTAATTAAAGCATTCCTTTACTTAATAATTAACGTAAAAGATATCGTAGCGTATTGCTCACTACACGGACAAAAATAACTTAAATACACTTGTATGTATTTAAAAGTAAAGTTCCTCGTACGTATGTGAACATTGACGTTGCGGCCCGGATTCGAAACCTGGGAAGTACCAATGTGACTTTATCCGAGATGTGTGTACTTTCAAGACTATTTACACCACTGACATAGTGGTGAAGGAAAACAACGAGAAGAAAAGACTAATAGTTTCTTATTATAAGTTTGATATCACCAATCCGCTTTGATCAGCAGTGGGCACTTATAATCTGATAATGTGATATGAACATATGAATACCTATATATATAAATACTTATGTAGAATAGCATTACGCATAGGTATAGATAAAGCAACCATTTATAAAATTCATTAGGTACCTATATAGCACTCTACCTACTCTACAGTAGCAGGCACTAAATATTCATTCCGATGCTAAGCATAGCAGCTTGCCAGCCAGGGTTGCGGGTGCAAATGCAATGATGTACCGCATCCCAGCTCCAGCTCGAAGCAGGAGAGGGAATTATGTGGTTCTTAGTCACTAAAGACCTGAGAGTCCAACTCCAAGAAGGGCGAAAAAAGGAGGAGTTGTTTTTTGTGAGATAGGACTGCAAAAGAGCAGACGGATTAACTGATGGTAAGCAATCGGCGCCGCCCATCAACAATGGCAACACCAAAAGAGTTACGAGTGCGTTGTCGGCCTTTTGGAGACTAGGGACTCGGAAATTTAAGGATTAGGGAAGAATGGAAGGATGGAAAAGGTTTTGTCTCCGGTAACCGGCCCCACGTCGAAATACAAGTTATGGTTGTTTCACGCCCGTTTTCTGTGTGGCCGTGATATCACTCTGAGCCGACCATTCGTGCCGAAGCTTGACTCTTTCACTTGTTCTTTGCGATACTCAAAATATTACATATTTTCGAAATCTTATTTGTCTACGCACTACTTTATTTACATTCAATTAATAAACCCATTATACTTAGTTACGTGTTTAAAACCACATGATATTTTAGTTTCACTAAATCAAT